TATAAAATATATATATATATATATATATATATATACATATATGAGGGAGCAGAAGGAGAGAAGGAGAGAAACGTAGGCAGGGGGCGAGAGGAAAAGAAGAAATGAACGATAGAAGAGTGCATAGTCAGAAAATGAAGAACTGTTAGTGCTTACCACAATCATTTTGCCGTCCTTAATTTCTCTTACACAATCTGTTTCTTTGCCATCCCATTTCTGGACATGAATAAGTTTGTCTCCATCCAACCGAACAACAGACTGAGACCAACAACAAAAGTTCGGATGATTAACATGTAGAAGTTGATTTCCCGTGGACATCCAATGACAGGACTTTTGGAGAGTGCCATCATTGAGTGTATCACCAATAACCTAGCAGCACTTCATCTCCTCTATTAGTTCAAGATTCACTGTTATCCAAAAATGGGGTCACTGATAATTTGGCTGAAATGTATACAACCAGATGCAAACATGGTCTGTATCTGAAATGAAAACACAGAACTACACATCCTCCCTATTTAAGCAAAGCTTTGGAGTGAGACTCACAGTTAGTTGGTCAATCTGAGGTGCTCAGAGAGAGGCAACATGGTGTGGTCTTTGAAATAAACACTGTTGGGTAGTCTCTGGTTAAAGGCCAGAGACTTTTTTATAAAGTATAAAAAATATTGGACAAGAGAAAAACAGGCTGGTTGTTTGGCAATGGAAATTAATCCATGTCTAGTGTACAACTTGTGTATGCTGGAATGCTAACTCTGGTTCACTCTCCCTGAACGGAAATTCTAAAATCTTCCCCCTTTCCACCTCTCAGAAGCAGAGGGATTGGGACTCTTCATCCCCCCACCCACCCACCTTCCAGGAAAAGTGGCTTCTTACCTTACAGTTCCTGTCATCTATGCTGGTTTCCTCAAACTCTTCGCCCAGCTGGAAGCTGATCTCTGTGTTCTTGAATGTGCACTGGGTCCTGATCACCACTTTGCCACCTTCCTGGCTGATTATAACCGTTGGCTTGGTCACATTTCCTACTTGCCTAGTGGCGAAGCCCACACCTGAAACAGCAAAAGCAGCCAGTGCACTTAACAGCAACTTCCAGAAGAGTTCATGAAGCTAAATCTGCTTGCCACTCTGAGAATCCAGAATTCTAAATCAGGTCCATTCAAACCTGATTAATGATTAGTCCATTAGCCACAGAACAGCTGAACACAAATAAAAGAATATTGAATACCCTCCCCCAAGTTGCAGAAGCTTCACACTTTCCACAGAATATCAAATCGTCCCGTTACTTGGTCCTGGGCAAGGAGGTAAGAAAATGCCACATGAAAAATTCGTTGAAGTCGGCTATTCACAGTCTAGCATATTATAAAAATATTCTCAGCCTGTCTCTCAGAAACCTAGCAAGTAAATTTTAAGAATCAAAATACATAGTTAAAAAGGGAACAGCAAGTCTTATTTGTACCTACCCAGAGCTTTCATATACTCATCAAAATTCTGACTGTCCGTCAGCTTCCAGGTGGCACAGAAAGCATCCACCATACTTGCCTTCCCCGTCAGCCGAAAATAGGTAGAATCTGGAGGAACTCGGGTCTTAACCACCGCTGTAATTCCCAAAACCCCTTGGCACCTCAGCAGCAGACCCTGCCTTCTTATTTGGAAAAGAAGCAGGCAAAGAGCCAATTATTTGAATAGCTAACTTGTCCCTCTTTCCAGTAGGCTGTCTCGGGGGGAGGGGCCAGGCAGATGGCTCCAATCTCCTGGTGATTTGCTCAGGCCACTGGGTTAGCAGAGTAGGTCATGATCCTCCCAGTCCACAAGGCACACAGTCCTGCTGCATGAGAAAGCTCCTTAGGAAGCCAGCAGTGCCCGAGAGTGGAGATCGGGAGGATGAGAGAGGGTTTTTCAGGTTCAGCGAAAAAAACCCTTGGCAACTGCAGTCTCAAACTGGGAGGAAAGAAAAGAGAAGGACAATAAAACATTCAGATTGAGTTCCTTAACGAGCCTGCTGGCTGCAAATGAAGACCCCCTTAAAGAAAATAAGAAAAAAAGAAAAAAAGAAAAAAAAAGCCACTGAAATGCCAGATTTTTTCAGACAAAGGACTCTGAATGGTGTATTTTATTTTCTCTTATATTTACATGGAGGGCGAAACGGAGACCAGAATATGGCAAACTGTGAAAAGATACAGGGGAAAGGTGAAAACGCATTCCCTGGATGCACTCTGTTTGAAACCTACTCAGAGTATCAATGAAACAAGACAGTCTGGCTTGCTCTCAATGCAAACACAGTGAATTTAAAGATCCCGTAGTTCTTTCTAAGAATGTAAGAACCGGACCGGAATGGAAAAGGAACCTCCAAGTGTGGTTCGGATTCCCTGATGAGTTAGAAAAACAAAGAGGACAGTGTTCTTGTTCACCTCCGTGAGTGGCCTATAGAGTAGGTGTGGAAAGGCTGGACAATCATTTAGTAAGATCTTAAAGGGCATTTTGGTTTCCTGAGGCCTCATCTACCTAATGTGATGCTTGCTTGTGTAAGTGGAAAGACAGGAAGGAACTGGATGGGGTGGTGGGAATGTGGAGAGCTTTGCCTATCGTTTGTCCCAGCACAGTGTAGCACAAGAATGGCAGAGTACCTGGAAGGTTCTAAAGGAGTTAGAGAGGCTCTGTGAATCTCTTCTTCACCTTGAGATGTTCCCTGCTTCATAGATGTAGGCCCCAATGAAATACAACTTTTTGAAGCTCAGAGAGAGAGGAAGAGCTGACAAGATCATCCCTGCTTTCCTGCCAAACCACCTTAAGCCTCAGCTCACAGTATGTATGTACCATTCCACAGCACATGTAGAAGACAAGAGCTCAGAGCACAGCCCGTTGCTGTGCTAGCTAGGTGACAGTACATTATTGCACTTATCATAATAAACACCTGAACTGGCTCCGTGCCTGTTTGCACAACACATGTAAATAATTCCACCAACTTGTTCAAAGGAATGAGCCAAAATTCTACCAGCTGTATCTAAGAGTTTACTCTCAAAAATGCCACTCAATGTGAAGGCCTGGCTCATTTTGCCCAGAGTTTAGCATCTTAATGCAAGCCACTGTTTTTTTTGTTTTTTGTTTTTTTTTTTTTTTTTTTTTTTTTTTTTTTTTTTTTTTTTTGGCTTTACCTGATTCTATAGCAACAGTTACTTCCCTGTTCTTGCAGCTTCTCTGGGAACCAAGCGACCTTTTCAAATAAAAGTCTGCATTTCCCTCAACTGAGGTCATTGAGCACTTTTCTCATGTGCTTTTCTATATTAAAGTTGATTTGTTGTTCCTGTGGTGTTGTAGCCACTCTTTGTACATTTTTGATAAGTTATTTGTATGTGATTTTTTTGCAAAAAAATCTCTTATTTTGCTGCATTTTCTAGGTTAGAATAATTTTTTCACCTATATGTCAAACTTTATTAAGCATGCATCTTAAGTGAGTACAATTGAATTTGTGTTAATAATACCATAGTGTAGTTCTTTTAAAAATTCTCAACCTGATCATGTCCTCTTATTTAAACCCTTCTATGTATATTCTTGTTCCCAAGTTAAAGACAGAAGTATGAAGCATCACCTTAGGTGGCCTGCCCCTGACATTTAGAAGAGTCAGGTTGAGAAGGCAAACAATGAGGGAGGCAGGCAGAGGTAGGTACCTCAGCTTAGTGAGCTGAAATGTTTTGTCCCTATGAATTTATCCCCTCGATTTTCAGACTAAGAATATCACAGAATGATGTGTTTATTCTAATTAAAAGTGCATACTAATCTAATTCGTTAGGAAGCAGCTTGGTGATTGCATATTGATATGGAGAAGAGACCATTGTTATGTAGATACGTATATTAGAATTTTGGAGAAATCCAATCTGTTTTGTGACTTCCACTAGCAACACCTGAGCAAATTTGAAGTACTCAATATATAACATACCAATTAACTCTGAACAATTCTTGCTTGAAATAAGAGCGTGTTTGACTCTAAAGAGAATGTCAGAGACTAGAACCTGTGTTGTACTAAGGGAGATTCAACAAATACTTTTTCCCAAACTCCCTAAACCTTGGAGTGATATATGACTCTGCTGTGGCTTTAATAATTTACATGCCTCATAAAAATCAAGAAGTAAAGGTGATGGACTGAAATACTGACCTTTCTTCTAGAGCTAATTCCTGTACGTGTTAACTAATGACAGTGAGACCTCTAAATATTTCCATGACTGGTAGGGTTGGTGATGGGGCTCAGGGGCAAAGTGTGTGCCCAAGGCCCCATCTTCAGCAAGCCAAGGGGAAATAAAGAAATCCATTATAAAGACCTATTTATTCTAAGTAGTAAAATAAAAAAGGAGATGGGGCATTGAGAGGGGCAAATCTCCACACAGGGCTGAGTCTCTCAGTGCCTGCTTTCTAACAGCTTTCCTCTTTGTAAGAAAACAGAGCAAGCATGGCCATAAATTTTCAGCATTGTTCTTGAATTAAAAACAAAGAAAAAAAGCCAACCAAGGTCATGATCAATGTGTCCAGCAAAATTCCCACTGTTAAGATAAAGCACGAGGGGAACCTTGGTGAATTCCAAGGCAGAAGAGTTGACCTGGGTGGAGGCAGAGACAAACATGCCAGGCAGAGATTAAGTGAGAAGTGTTACTGGAAAGGGAAGGGGTGGGGAGGAGAGGTAAAGAGACACAGAGACAGAGAGAGGACACAGAGAGAGGACAGAAGAGAAGAGGGATACAGAAAAATCCTATCTGCCCCAGGAGAACAGGGGGAAAGGGAGCGTAAATGGGCAGGAGTCTGTCTTTTAAAGTGGTTCTTTGCACCTGTGTGCAACCCTGGGCTGACCAGAGTACTGCCTGTGTGCATTCTGCCAGGTGACAGGGGCAGCATAAAGCCTGAATCCTTACACCCACGGGTAGCTAAGGGAAATAATCAACATTCAACACCTTTTCGTTGCATTATACAAAATCCTAATGGGACATCTTCATAGTTGAAATGAAATGTAACTTATGCTGATTGCACTGTTGATATGCACCTGTCTCGGAATCAGCAAGAGAGAAAAGACTGTACATCAGCCCCCTTTTCTAAAATAGGGGCACAGACACTCTAGGGGTTCATCTGTCTATCTTACCTACACTTCCCAGCCCCTACTTCCAAATCTGCTCAGTGCCTAAGTGCTTGGAGTTAAGGAAGATTGCAACCTGCAAGGGGGGAGGGAGGGGGTAATGTAACTCTGGTAATTGAATTTGATGGAGAGGGGATGAAGCAGTGAAGAAGGGAGCCAGTGATCCATCTGTCCCTTTGTGATGTGAAGATTTTGTTTTGTGGTGCAGCACAAAATACCTAGCCTGGACTAGAAAGGAAGTGTAGCTCCATCTGGTGCAGCATGGTGAGGTCAAAGAGAAACTTCCTCTAGCTTCTTCTCTACTTCCTGTCATTTTGAAGTTTCTACCTCCCACTATCTAAGTGTTCTATTTGCCATTATTTATTTATTTATTTATTTATTGTGTATACAGTGT